TTACTGGGATGTATAGTTCACCTACAATCAAAGAGCATTCTGAACTCCACCAATGATGGAATTGAACCAGAAATGGCACACAGAACTCCCACGACGAACAGAAAATATATATCGGTGATTGTTTGGGGGAGGGAGCATCAAAATACTGTTTGCTTACCATTGAAAATTACCTAGGGCCGCCTCTGAGTGTTTCTAAATCTTCCTAATGCCGTGATCCCTTAATACAGTCCCTCATGTTGTGGTGACCCCCAACCATAACGTTATTTTTGTTGCTACTTCGTAACTGTCATTTTGCTACTGTTATGAATCGTAATGTAAATATCTGATATAAAGGATGTCTTTTCATTCACTGGACCAAATTTGGCACAAATACCTGATACACCCAAATTTGAATACTGGTGGGGTTGGGGAGGATTGATTTTGTCATTTGGGAGTTGTAATTGCTGGGATTTATAGTTCACCTACAATCAAAGAGCATTCGGAACCCCACCAACGATAGAATTGGGACAAACTTCCCACACAGATGTTTCAATTCCATCATTGATGGAGTTCAGACTGCTCTTTGATTGTAGGAGAACTAGAAATCTCAGCAACTCTCAAATGTCAATGTCTATTTTCATCAAACTCAACCAGTGTTCACATTTGGGCATATTGAGTATTCATGCCAAGTTTGGTCCAGATCCAACATTGTTTGAGTCCACAGTGAACTACAACTCCAAAACTCAAGTTCAGTGCCCACCAAATCCTTCCAATATTTTCTGTTGGGCATGGGAGTTCTGTGTGCCAAGATTGGTTCAATTCCATTGTTGGTGGAGTTCAGAATGATCTTTGATTGTAGGTGAACTATAAATCCCAGATTTTGTCCCAAATGACAAAATTAATCCTCCTCAACCCCACCAGTATTCAAATTTGGGCGTTGGGTATTTGTGCCAAATTCGGTCTAGTGAAAGAAAACACATCCTGCATATCAGATATTTACATTACGATTAATAATAGGAGCAAGATTCCAGTTATTTATTTATTTATTTATTTATTTATTTATTTATTTACTGCATTTATTGACCGCCGCTCTCAGCCCTAGGGCGACTCGCGGCGGTGCACAACATATAAAAACAGTTTACAAAAGGGCAAAACAGGAAATCAATACAACAATAATACACTATAATCTAAGTTACACTAAATAATCCGCTCCGTCACATCATAGAATCATAACCAATACCGTAATCCGTATTCCGTTCCAGTTGTCAATTACCAGTTGCCGTAGCGCTCAGTTGAATGCCTTCTCAAATAGCCAGGTCTTCAGGCTCTTACGGAAGGACAGAAGGGAGGGCGCCTGTCTGATGTCAGCAGGGAGGTCGTTCCACAGCCGGGGGGCCACCACCGAGAAGGCCCTTTCTCTCGTCCCCGCCAGACGTGCCTGTGAAGCAGGCGGGATCGAGAGAAGGGCCTCCCCAGACGATCTCAAGGTCCTCGTGGGCTCATAGGCCAAGATGCGGTCCGAAAGGTATTTTGGGCCGGAACCGTTTAGGGCTTTGTAGGATAACACCAGCACCTTAAATTGGGCCCGGTAGCAAATCGGCAGCCAGTGGAGCTGGAACAGCAAGGGCGTTGTATGCTCCCTGCGTCACGCTCCTGTTAGTAACATGTTAGTTATGAAGTAGCTATGAAAATAATGTTATGGTTGGGGGTCACCACAACATGAGGAGCTGTATTAAGGGGTCGCGGCATTCGGAAGGTTGAGAAACACTACTCTAACCATTCCCTGCCTCAATCTTCCAAAAGTCCAAGAGCTTGAAATATTTCCTGGCACACAGCACCACCCACTGTCTCATATTTTTGTTTCCTTCCCTATAATGTTTCCTTCTTCTGCCTGCAAATTAAATTGCATCTCCTTCATTTAAATGGATGTGATGAGCATTCCATATTGGGCTTGTGCTCTAACTATCTCCCATGCTGCTTTCCTGCTGTCTGGACGTAAATGCCATTCTATTAATCTCTGATCATTGTTCAGCCATTAGGAGAGGAAGCAATATAGGAAATTGCCTTCTATTGAAAAAGATTGGTTTACTTAGGTCAGTGTTGTCTATTCTGATAGTTGGAGTCTCGGGTGGGATTCTTGCCACTTTCAATGGAGAAGAGAGGCCAAGCAAACCACATACTCGGCTTTCATTCATTGTACCTAATGAGCCATCTGCACTAGACTATCGTATTGGAATAATCCCACTTTATCTGCCATGACAACATCCTTAGCGTGTGCCTTTTGACGAGGTTGATGCTTATCTTTATCCAACAGTCATGTTGTTGTTCATTCGTTCAGTCGTGACCTCATGGACCAGCCCACGCGAGAGCTCCCTGTCGGCCGTCACCACCCCCAGCTCCTTCAAGGTCAGTCCAGTCACCAACAGTCATAGCAATGCACAAAGGTACTCCACTTTTCCAAAAAGCAGAATGCTGGGGATTTATTTATTTATCGTGTCAGAAGCAAATTGAGTATACAGTTATAAT